GGGAGCAACAGTCCGGTTCCTATTCCCCCGGCAAGTCAAATATGAATACAGAGAAAACACGCTCACGCTCCTCCCCATTATGGCTGAGAGGCCCGAGTGGACGGCATTGATTACTTCCATAGGGAAGGATGAACCACCCCTCACCCCTGCCTAAGTTAGCCTATATCTACTACCCTCTGTTCCTCTGAGCTGCCTAGCTCCTAGCTGTTGTCAACTGAGTTCTGTTCGGATAAATCTAAACGCTAGAGCTAGTGTCGGGGGCTGGGATCTAAGAGTTTGCTTTAACAATTATTTCTACCCTCTCTACCCAAGGAACTTCAAAAGAACTTGACCACTTCTCGAGCTCTATGGTGTTTTATCCTCTGAACTCCCTTTCTCCCACCTTTTGGGCTAACAGATACTTCTAGATCCTGTCTGTACTGCTGTTACAGCCTTCTGCCTTTTCTTAAACCCTAAACCCTAGTCTATTCATGTCGTGTATTACGCGCTGATTGTAGCTTTTTCCTGTTAAGTCATTAAGGTTTCTAGAGGGTTTTGCCCTTTTTTCTATTCTTATGGATTTACCCATACTCTATATCCTGTCTGCACTGCTGTTTCTGCGTTCTGCCTTTTCTTAAACCCTGAAACCTAGTCTATTCGGGTCGACCTTTCCCTTTGTTCTCATTGCTATTATCCTCCAGATTGACTTCCCTTGTTCATGGTGAGGCCAGTTGCTGTGTCTGTCCCGGATGTCCGTTTGCCATGTCTTGTTGGTCCTCTGTGAACAAGTGGAAGATCAGCCTGTGCCCCTCTATTGAAGCCACTTTGCCTTTGGCCAATACCTTGTTCTGAAATTTCGTGAAAATATCCTTAGCCTTTTCGGGGTTAGCTGCTGCCTGTTTCTTGGTTCGCTGCCATTGAGCTGTAATGTCCGTTTGTAGCAGATTATGTAGTGTTGCTCGAGCTTCCATTCTGGTTGACGGATTTTTGCCTATCACTTGTTGACATCTTCTTTTCCAAATTGTCCATAATGTGTATTGTCTCAATAGCTGGTAAATGCACTTATGGCTGGAGTGCCAACTTCTCGGAACTTCCGTTCCTGTAAGATGGACTTTTTTGCTCCTTGGGAATGCAAATTCCGATGTGCGATCCCATAGSGTTCGAGCTATAGACCAAACATACTCCGCTTCCGGGCATAGCAGAAGGCAATGAAGCAATGTTTCGGGTACTCCTTCAGTGCACATGACGCAATTTTTCTCCCTCTCRTCTCTATTGTTCCTGCTTCGTTTTTCGTAAAGCCAAACRTTGACTGGTAGTGMGACATGAAATATTAACCACTGCATACTTCGGACCTTATTCAGCCTGATGGTGTGCAAAATCGACCACGGCAATTTTCTTATTTGCTGTCTTGGTATTCCCACCCTTTTTTCCYATCTCMTTGCTAGGGGTTGATCCAACTGGGTTGATTTCTTTCTTAATCTATACCCCCATTTGGTTGTGTAGTGGAGTATGTTAACCCTCTTACGTATCCTTGAACCATTCTCTTTCATGTTCCAAGCCCAGTGTACTGGATCAATTTCCAGATCTTGAATAGGTGTTGTGGGAGCAAAAATTGTGAATTCATCAGTCTCTATGACCCTGACTTTCCAGAGATTTCAATTTTATTTCAAGTTCAAATTCAGCCTGGTTTACTTCGTTTCATTTCCAGGCTCTTGTTTGGGCTTGAACTTTTCTCTCGTTGTGCGGTCAAATGTGCGCTCAATACCGCTTATCAATGCAACCAGAGGTCCAGAGACAAATTTAAAGAACACCAGGCAGCAAGGACAAAGAGTTCAAACTTGTGTGGAGAAGTTGGGGGGTGGGGCGGGGGGGGGGGGGGGTAAGGAGGACGAGAAGTAGCAAGGAGCATGAGGAGGAGAAGAGGGTACGGAGAAAGACAAGGAGAACGAGACACGAGGAGGAGGAGGAGAGGAGGGGAAGGAGGTGAGGAAAATGAGGAGGAGGAGGAGGAGGAAGAGAAAGAGGAAGAGGAGGAGAAGGAAGAAGATGAAGAAGAAAGAGAAGAAAGAGGAGGAGAAAGAAGCAGAAGAAGAAGAAGCAAGGACTGGCCAGCATAGCTAAAAACTAGTAAAGATTTCAAACACTGTAAATGTTTGACTAAGTTTAATTCTTAACAAAAGCTAAAAACTAGTAAAGATTTCAAACACTGTAAATGGTTGACTAAGTTTAATTCTTAACAAACTTAACCCATAAAGAAGTTGGAGAACCTTTTCTTTTATTTTCCCTTAAAAAGGGAGACAGTCTTGCGGTATCATCTTTTGAAGTTTGAACTGACCGGCCCCAGGTAAGGGCAGAGTTGTTTTCACTGATCTGATTCGAACTCAGGTCTGTATTTCGAATTTTTTCAACAGTTCAGGAGGGGTGTATCAAGTGAGGGCATACTCACACGAGCACTTTCCAGAATGCATCTGACTGCAGTTATGGCCAGACCTGGATGAATCTGACTACAATCACGTCCAGAGAGTTTTGGAAGAAGTCCTATTGTGAGTATGCCCTGAGCTAGAATCTTTATGTCATCAAGGAGTCGCTTCCCCCACCAAAAAAAAACAAAAAAACGGAGTCGCTCCAGTTGCAGAACGAAGAGCATGTGGCTGGTAACCAGGAGTGACTGATGTTGAGCACCCTCAAACAGTGCCAAACAGTCGGTCAGAGAGAGAAAGAAAGTTTAAGAAACATCATCTTCCTTTCTCTTCATCTTAGCAAAAGTGTTCTAATTATATAAAAGAAAAGGTGTTCTGACGACTAAAGCTTATGTCCATGTTGCACTCACTGGCAGCAAAGGATGCAAGAAGTTTATAAAGAACTGTATTCAATATGGCGGGTTTATTCCGTGAACCCTGTTTTTGGCGTCGATGTAAGCATCACCAATGCGATCTTGCCACAACAGCGAATCAACACCGTGGATCCGACGGCCAAGGATGAAGATGAAGACCTTATTGATCAGGTGAGACTAGGGAAAATGTTCTGGAAACTTCTAGAAGACGAAGAAGTAAGAATTCAACTAAGAAAAGAAAGGTTCATCTAAGCTCATCTTATAAAATTTTTCTCTAGAAAAGGTTCATCTTCACCACTGCCTTTCCCATGCAATATCAGATCATCTCTCTCTCTCTCTCTCTCTCTCTCTCTCTCTCTCTCTCTCTCTCTCTCTCTCTCTCTCTCTC